GCTGCTGAAGCCATCAAGCTGCCATGCGCTCCACCGTGTAACGGCGCGGACCTTGGCAACCTTTCTGATATCGATGCTGTGGGGGATCTGCGCTCTGTGCTGGACAGCTCTATCACGACTCATTTCACCGAGAAGGGTATCAATTGCTTTGTGTCCTCGCTTGACAAATTTTTTTTCAACAGCAAACGTTTTATGGAGGATGCGGAGTTCTTCACTGGGCTCAACCTAAATTGGACGCGATACGTCAAGTATCTTGCTCTTTACGCCCACATTCAGCGCGTAAAGCAGCCAGATATGTACCAACAACGTATGCGGGAATATGAGAGTGTGGTGCAGAACAATTCCTTAGTCTCGCCGGACGCGTACTTACCAAAGCCGAAGGACGCGGATAAAATTTTTGCCATGCCATCTCAACGACAGCGGAGCAGGCCTTTTTTTCGAAGAGGCGCATCTAACCTGCGTGCTGGCAGCGCCGAAACCAGCCAATATGGAAACATGGAATCAACACGGCTTGATTCGTCGACGTTTGCACGAGGCACGGGTACTGGATGCCGCCTTCAGCAGCAACAGATGCCGACGTCAGAGCCAATACCGACGATGGGTATTTCACTGCTGCTTTATAGCCATCGCACTCTTCATGCAAAGTACTACCAGACACTGGCTCTTCTTGGTATTGAAAACATTGACATTGGGTGGGAAGGAACACACGCTTCAGTGGAGGCGACAATGCGGGCATGGCAGTTGCTATATGACGAGGTCTATGTCAAAGACGTTCAAGGTGCGTTTTACCTTTCTGAGGAACCATCCTCTTTGCGGGAAACCAATGAGGGAAGAGAACTCCAACAGAACGAGGTAGTACCTCCACGGAGGCGCAACTTGTCAAAGCGTTCCTCTCGCTCACAGCGGCGTGCTGTCATTTGCACAGCTGACGGTGAACAGCTTATTTTCTGACGATCATCTAATAAAAAGTGGTGTGACTGCATGCTCACGTTCACACTTGCTTGTATGTGTCTATGTGATGGGGGTTGGGATGGGACATGGATGATATATATATATATATATATATATATATATTCGTAATCAAATCAAAGACAATGGAATACCGGGATGCAGGCAAACACAAGGGCGGTGATGAACACCAATGACAGCGAGATATCGCTTTGTGTCTACATGGGTGCAAAACCATGGATGAAAGGAAACTGAGGAACCCGACGTGTAGTCTTGGAGTTCCCCTCCCACTTTCTCTTCCCGCAGGCACACATTTCTCTCTTTGTTTACGCATCGTATTTATGCATCGTCCTTCTCAGTGCATTTCCTCGTGCTGGTGGGATCTGTAAGAGAAAGGGAGGGGGGGGGGCAAAACGCTGAGGTTGTTGAAGGACTGCACGTACAATAAGATAACAGCCACAGCAAGAAGGAGAATCCAAGCAGAAGCTGTAGAAAAGAATGATGAGACAAACAACACAAAAACGAAAGAAAAGGAAGAAAAACAAAAGAAAAACCATTTACATGTGGTGATGGAAGACTTGGCGGTGTACTCCTGCCGTGCGTTTGTGACTTGGTTTTAGGTGAAACCAAAAGTGGGGGAGATAAAAAGGAAGGCAGGATTATCGGTGGTTTATACGGGGACGTGTAACTACGATCCAAGCGTGTAAGTGAGTTTGGGGGCGCGAGGATGGCATTTTCTGTTTCTTTTTTTTCCCATTTACTGCCTTGTTAAACTACCTCCTTTGTGTGTATGGGCACATGTGGATAAGTTATTATGACTCTATGTGTGAACCAATGCTGCATACATGTATGCGTGTATATTTCGTTGGATACGCATTGGGGTGGTCCTGCGGTGAGTTGCTTGATCGTGGAAAGGCGGTGCGATGGTCTGGCAATAACTCCCGTGGGGGTTTTCCCCCTTTTTTTTTTCTCCTTTTGCACTTTTTTGTTTTGCTTTTGTTGCGTGTCTGCCGTCTCCGACTGGGCTCAAGGAAGTACACACACAGAGAGTGAGAGAGATAGATAGAGAGAAGGACAGACAAAGAGAAGAAGGAAACGAAACGGTAAAATAATAGTATAGAATGGAGAAATCTCTCCGGGTGATGACAACACCGTCGTCAAAGGAGGTGCGGAAGAACTTGCACAAAGGCAGTACTGCCCGGGAGAAGCCGACGGGGGGGAGTCACCGCCGCACGCCTCTCTTGCGGGGACTCAATGTAGAGGAAAGAGAACAGGCTTCGTTGCGGCGGCGCAATTCTGTTGCCATTGCCCCCACGCGCCGCACGCTAAATCGACTCACTGCGGCATCGCTGGTGAGTAGTAGACGACCCACTTCATGCACCACGGCACTGCACATCTCGATGACGACCCCACTGCCGTGTTCATTAGGAGGCGGCCGGTCGTCATCACGTCTCAGCACGATAAAGAATCCGTTGATTGCAACACCATCTCGCAGGGCGACATCCAGCATTTTGAGTGAGTCCCCGCCGCCTGCTGCACCACCTTCCTCTGTTGCCACAATAGCGAGTATGCCGCTTGTGGGCCCTATACACTCCTTTGGCGCTGCGTCGCGAAGCCTTGACTCCAAGGTGCAGGGTAGAACAGATGGTGACCAGTGTAGTGTCCCCTTCACCATCAAGGGACCATATCTGCGCACTGCGTTGGTAGAGGCCAGTGCCTCTCTCTGGGCTGCAAACGACGAAACTGGTACTATTGACGTGTACAGTAGCGTTTCTGGCGCAATGTCGATGCGAATTCCCGCACGTACCAAAACGACCGGTGATATTATTAAACCAATGGCAATGAAGGCGACACCGCATCATCTTTGGGTGGGCTACGAAGATGGAACTGTGGTGGTGCACGACCATCTTTGCCTTGTGCAGCTAACTATGGGACGTTTTCATATGGCACCCGTTGTGGCCTTTTGTGTTTTGGGAAGTGGTATTACGGTAAGTGGTTCTATTGACATGGTGCTTGTTCGCTGGGATAGGGAGGAGAAGAATTTTGAAGCCATCTCGCGCATAGATGGTGTATCCAAGTCCCACCAAGCCTTAACTTGCATAGCTGCATTTGGAAATAGCATTGTCTTGTGTGGCTCCATGGCTGGCACCGTTTTGGCAGTAGATTCTGCTTCTGGGCTACAGGTTGCAACACTGCGTGGTCACACCGGCCGCGTGAATGCTCTCGCGGTGATAGAGGACCTTATCTTCTCTGCCTCTGAAGATGGTAACGTAAATGTCTGGAACGTAAAGGTTGAAGAACCGTTTCCCGAGATTACCTTGCAGCAGAACTTCCATTTACTGAAGTCTATTCCTCTTCAGGTTGCGATTCGCGACCTTGTTACTCACGAGGGATCTCGCAGCTTGTGGGTGGCCTACGCCGATGGGCTTGTGGAGCGCTGGAGCGCGAACCCAGATGATGATTTTGGCGTCGAACAGGTGGTGCGTGAGGCGTTTATTGACGTGGACGAGTCCCAGACGGGGGAGAAGCCGCGGCATGAGGTTGTCTCCCTGGACTGCGTCAAGAATGTTGAGACGATGCGGGTGCTGGCACTGGGCAGCAACGGCATCAGTAAGGTGTGGTGCGGCCACCGAAACACGTTGGAGGAGTCGCTGCAGCGATCTATCAATGACATCAACGCCGTTATTACTCAAGACACCACTGAAGCCGCCGCGTGGGAGCAGAAGGCTATTGCATTAAAACAGAAGGAATTGCAGCGTAAACGAAAATACGCGGATCTCTTGAGCCGTCTTCATGCTCGCCGTATGCTTCTTGCTCACTACACAAAGTGGCGGGCACGCATTAACTCTCACCACCTGCGTGGTTGGCAGCAGGAAGAAATCTGTCTCACCCTTGAGGGACGTTACCAATTTCGGCTTATGCGTCGCTATTTCAGCTTATGGTGCAGCTTCTATGACAGGGAGCAGCGACGCTTCCGGCGGCAACTCAATGCGGCCGCACTGGAGCGGATGTCTTACCATACGTGGGCCATGCGACTGTTTTGCAGGTGGAGGAAGGCGGCCTCGCGCCGCAAAGCACTTCGACAGCAAGATAATGTGGTCAAGGCCTTGATTCGGGTGTCAAATGGGACACTTTTAGCAAAATTTTTTACACGTTGGAAATATTATGGTGCCATGCGACGCCGTGCCCTTCCAGATGACAAACTTGCGCTTCTGGTGGGGAAATCGCGACAGCGTGTACTGCGACATGCGTATGAAAGTTGGAGATTGGCTCACATGCGCCGGGAAAGAGTTGTGGCGAACGCCGTCGTATACCCTGCGGCAACTGTTGCCGAGACTCCCGCGGCCGACCGGGCGTTCTATGCTGTAGGGTTTGCGGAGGTGTATGCAAAGGTGACAATGGAGAGAGAGCGTCGCCGTGTGTTCGCCGTGTGGCGTCGCTGGCATGCGTATCGTTCCAGCATTGTCTCGTTGCGGGCGTTGGCCACTGTGCAGGAAAAACAATGTCACCGAAATCTGTTATACTGGGCCTGCTATTTTGGCAACTGTTTTGTAGAAAGCATCGCTTGGAGAAACTTGGATGGGAGGTTCAGGAGGTGGAGCGACAGCTTAGGGATGCGGAGGAGACGCATCTCGATATCTTTGAAAAACTGCAACTGCAGAAGCGTCTGGAGCACATGCGCCGGCAACACGAGGAGGAGCAGCGACTTTTGCAGGAAGAGATTGTACGAACAGAACAACTCAACGCTGACCGTGATGCGCTTCGTCACTCATTGGATCGTACCGTCGGCGTAGATGATGACCCGACAACGAACGCGTCCAGTGCCCTCTTCAACCCCGCTGTGCTGCAGAAGCTGCAGGTGGGCGAAGCGATGGCGTTCGTCATGACGCGGCTGAAGGGCATTGCACTCAACATTTACACGGATATGCAACTGTTTCGCCAGATCAAGGACCGTTTGCGCTGCGGTACCTCGGCGGCGGTTGTCTTCCTTGAGGGATTCCAAGAAGTAAAGCGGCTTGTTGTGAACTTATCACGCAAGCAGCCAGGGCACGCGTGGCGCAGCGGTGAGCGATGGCTTCTTACCGGTGAGGTATTCGAAAATCTTCCGCTGCACCTTTGCGCCACCGTCGTGCAGGCGATCAAGGCGATGGCTATTGCCTACGACATGGTTGCTGCGTCTGACGTCGAGACTGTGTCAGCAACGAGGGTCGAAATTGTGGCCAATGCGGACTTGCTGTTTATGCTCTGGAGAGCATGCTACACCGCCCGCAAGCCGCCACTTCCCGTAAACAATAGAGTTGCCTCGCGAGGCTAATACTTTTTTGCTGTTTCTTTTTCCTTTTTGATCTTGCTTTGTATCTCTTTCTAGCTATGTGTGTATATGTGTGTGTTTTAATGTCAATTCTGTCCATTTTTTTTCTTTTTTTCGTGTGTGACCAATCGGGAGGGGGTGGGAGGGGAAGCGAGAGAGAGAAAAAAAATAAAAGAGAGAGGCCGGTCGGATGGGGTACTCACAGCCACGCCACTGTCTTTCATTTACATTGAAGACAGGAGCGTGCCGAGGTGTGTGAAGCGATTGGAAATAACACGCACGTTCTTATTGATTGGGAACACAGACACAAAACTCTCTCACCTCCCAAATATACACAGATGTGATAGTAAGAAGGGCATGTCTCCTTATTCGCATTGGATCTATGCTATATTGTATATGTAATGTACTCGCATGTCTCAGTGTTGGTTTACTTTTTATTTGCTTCCCTTTACACTCCCCTTTTTGTCTTCGTTATTTGCCGTGCGCAGGTGAAGGTTACATACGCCATCCTGCTCAATCTTCTAAAATCGAATTGCAAATGTGGGCGGAGGGATGGGCTGCGTCCTGCAGCCTGCTCCTCCTCCCAGCCATCTCTCTGTGGACACTGCGGGCGGGATTTGGCTACCATGGGGCAACGCTCTGTTTCCTCAACATGTTGGTGCCGTTATTTGCCGCGTGTGCACTGTGGCTGCGCTCCACAAGACTGGCTCAGAAATACATAAAGTATGTGGGACATCACTGCAGCCGTGGAGATGAAGCGCGTGGGCTCGCTGCTGGTGCCTCCCGGATATCGCCTGTACTGCCGGCAGTTTTATCATTGATAATGTTCCTGTATACATTTTGGCATGCCATTGCGGTGGTTCTATTCCTGCTTATAGAAACAGGGATATGGAAGCAATAATGACTGCCTGGTACTTGAGGAAATGGCGCCCTTGTTGGTCCCAATCATACATGAGACGAAGATTGCGAGTGAATGCATCTGTTTCTGTTTCTCCCTTCTACCGGTGTGTTGTGTGCTTACGTTGGAAGCCCCAACAGTCGATAAGGACTTCTATGCCAATCAACAATTTCACCCAAATACTTGTTTGCACCATGGGCGTCGTGTCAATTGCTAGGACAACAATGATTTTTTGAAATCCCCTTGGTGTGTTATTCCGTACAAATTCATCTTTTTTTTTTTGCCTTTGAGGGGCAGCTCTGTGTGGCAAAGTTTTCCGTGATGACTGGCCTCTGCTTTCACTTTTTTTGCGTGCCTGTTTCTTTGAGGGGTGTTGCGCCTTCTTGCTTTTTTTGATGTCATTGTTTTGTGTGTTTGCGTCTCGCACGTAAGCACAGTCCCAAACGCTAACAACAAGTCACGCATTATGCTCCGTCTGCTTTGCTGCGCCCTGCTTTTTGTGCTATGCGGCGGCGGCGGCGTCCCCGTCATTGCTGTGCCGCACCGATGCGTGTTTGATAGCCTGCCCCGGAACGTTCCCGGCGTGACTCCCGAGGGGGAACCGGTGAGTCCTGTCCGTGTGTCGGTGGGCAGTGACTGGGTGCCCATCCGCAT